GGGATACCCACGTAGTGTTTTTTTGATGCCCATTTAGCTGTTTTTGATGCCTATTTAGTTTTTTTTGATGCCTATTTAGTTTTTTAAGGCCTCTCCCACCGGCTGCCATCGACGTCGCGAGGCGGCGCAAACAACGGCGCTAACCTGAACTGGCCGGCCCGGGCCCGCAACGCCTCGTCGTCCTGGCTGCGGAGGTCGGCGGGCGATGGGGGCAAGAGGCGCACGATCTCGTCTGCAGCCTCGCGCAACAGCGCTCCCTGCGCGCGCCGCGCGCTGCGTGCTGCTGCCCGCGCGGGGTGGGCGCGCCGGTGGTGGGGGCAGCTCGGATGCGCGTTGCAGCGCGCTTTGGCCTCCACGCTGTTGGGCGGCTGCTGGCGAGCGCCGTTGCAGCCTACCGGAGACGAGCAAACACCGCTCGGGTGGGTCCTGGAGCTCGCCGAGGCGGAGCAACCCTCCAGATTGCCCTTGCGTGCGTGATGCGCATGAGCTAGGGATAGCGAGGCACGGACGAGTGGAACTTCGAGCTACCGGAAAAAGGTCCGCAAAAAAAAAAAAAAGAAAGGTGCAACGCTCCTCGCAGTCGCCTCCATGCGCGCCTTCCGTACCCATTTTGGCTCAAGAATCATCCCACAGGAGCTTGCTTTGGTCGTCTCGGTTGTTTTTGGCATTCAACGAAGGTTTGCCCCTTGAGCCATTGTGATTGGGCGTGCTCCGCTACCGAGCGGGATAATAAATACGGTGCATTTTGCACACGCAACGGAGATCAGAGATGCCGCGGTCGTTGTCACGTACGCCTCCAGTGCCGCGCTTGCGACGCACCTGCACTCCTCAGCGGGCTCAACGTTTGCTGATGACACCACCCTTACGGCAAGGTGTGGACAATGATTTTGAATGCCCAGTCGGCATCACCAAACACAGTCATTGACACGAAGTCATCATGCCGCCCGGGTGATGAGCCGTGCTGCGCGCTGTGTCAACTGAGAGTGATCCCCGCTTGCACGTCTCCAGCGTCTGATGTGCCATGGAGGTGGCCGTGTAACTGTGGAGTGCAACTGCATGTAGGATGCGCCGTGCAAATCCGGCTCCGAGTGCCTGAGGCACTGTCGCGCGCCTTGGCCCGGAGCTGTCGCTGACGAGGCTTTGTCAAGTGCTTGTCGTTTGGCCGGCTTCCCCATTCGAAACACGTGGGAGCCACTCCCCGTCCATGATGAGGAACTGCCTGATCCTTGTGGTGGCATGCCAACTGCACCACAGCGTATTCTTGTATTGTGTTGTGCCCGGTTGTCCGCCTTCGATGCGCAATTTCACGCACGTGAAGCAGAATTGGCCCCCACACGATGCTTTCAGGTGAACGCTGACGGTCATCGAGTTCAAGTGGGGTGCCGTGGTGAGTGGTCATGCAATTTGTGTGGGCGCTCTCTCTCGGAGGATGACCTCTCAGCACACCCTTCCCCGGATGACCCCCCTGATTCCTTGTATTGCCCAGTTGATGGTCCGCGGACCTTGGTTATCGATCTAGCCCATAATTCCCGAACGTGGTTGTGCTTACCTGGTTGTGCGGCTGATTACACCCAGATGCTGCAACATGCACCACCGCCTCCAAGCAATTTTCGCACCGCAAGACCGCCTGTCATGAGCCAGGAGGGTACAAATTCGTTTTTGTATTGCCCAATCTTGCTACACGTTGCCGATCCGTGCAGGGCCCTGCTGTGGAAGCCGGGTGTCACGCTTATGTTCGCATCTTTCAGGACAATTGTTTGATGCTGCACAGTTTGCACAAGCTTACTCAGAGTTACTAGGGATCTCTTGCGAGTTCTGCAGATCTGAATGCTGCTGAACAAATCCGCGCAATTGCCACACGATACCCCTTAGGAACTCGGGCAGGAATCCGATGCTTGGTCCCCAGTGTGGTTGAGCCCAATGGACACATTCCCAACTTGTTGCAAAACCTGCTTCTGCAGGTGTATGGCGGTTGACAATTGGCGTCCGAGGTCGATCAAGCAATAACGACTTTCCGAGAGCAGGGTGACTGGCCCCAATGTTTGCATTTTCTCCCGGCGCATAACCCGTTGTCTTGCCAGGCCCTACACAACAACCCAGGTCCTGCAGCCATGCATGGTGTGAATGTGGATCCTGCACCAAGCTCTGTTGCGCTTAATCCCGTGCCAGACGTCGGACCGGTGAGACCAGCTTGCCCGGCGCCGTCGCTAAACCATGGCCAAGAAGCCATCCCCAGCCGGACGCATGGACACACTCACGACATCAATGTGAATCAGAATCAGCAGTCTGACTCCACTTCCACCGTTGGCTTGTTCCCGACGCATTTGCATCAACACCCTTCCGAACGACGTAGGAGTGCGGCGTGTGGCACTCGACGCCGATGCAGAATTTGCAATGCCAGCATACCGCATCGTTCACATTACTTCCATTGCAGCCAAAAATGTCGGTTTGCCGTGTGTACTGCGTGCTTTTCTCCATCCGCACGATGTGCAACGAATGGTGATTCCCGTCAGCGCGCTGTGAGTGAGCCACCCGTGCAACAAACCGTTGCTGACGCAAATTCGTCGGTAGATCATGGTGTATACGGTCGATCTCACTTCACGCGATATGCAAACTTGACACTTGAAGCATTTACTGACAACGTTAATGGGCTCATTAGTCAAAAACGTTTTGCAGGAATAGGCGTGCCCCAAATCCGTATAAAAGGAACATGTTAACAGCTAGGCCGCTTCCCAATCACTTGCTTCTTTTCACTCGCGGCGTGAGTTGAGAGTGCAAACGCTGGCTGGGAGGGCACCTTCCGACCGACCAGCCAGTGCCACACCCACGGGTGGGATGGGCGGGCGAGAAATGACTGCGGCACCGCAGTGAACATGCTGCTCATGTTAACAGCTAGGCCGCTTCCCAATCACTTGCTTCTTTTCACTCGCGGCGTGAGTTGAGAGTGCAAACGCTGGCTGGGAGGGCACCTTCCGACCGACCAGCCAGTGCCACACCACCAACACACTCCGGCTACGGCTGTAAGGGCCCTGCGGGGCGTTGCACGGCGTGCGCCGGACGAGAAGCAATAACGAAAGGGAATAATGCAGCTGCTGCGGAAACTTTTTCTCGAGCACGAGGATGAAGCCGCGGGATCACCGACAACGCAGCGACCTCCTGCAGGTAGAAGGCCAAGGTTCCCACATGTTGTAGCCGCATACGCCATTGGATTTCTGACACTTGGTCGCCTCTGCGATAAGCAGCGACAGCGCCCCCGCCACGCAATCCCCCTGGCGTGAGGTGAAAGTCGGCAGGGATTCCTAAAGCACGCAAAAGCTTGTCCCACCGTTTGCGATACATCCAGGAACTCCCATGAAAGAGCTTATCGCTGCCTTTGAGTCCTGACCACGTCGCCAGGAAGAAAGCTTTCAGGTTGCCAGAAAACGAAATGGCCACATGCTGCACTCTCGGCCCCCGCCCTCGAGATTTCGGCTCTCGAAAGCAGAGGAAAAACCTGTCGTCATCGCTCAGTAAGTCTCCCGGTGTGAGAAAGTCCTGCCGCTCGGCCTTTAGGACCTCGCCGATTCGGCAAGCTCCATAAAAGCAGAGCAGCGTTGTAGCAGCCCAGACGTCCCATTTCCAGACCAAAGCCAGCGAACACATCGCCAGCATTATAGGCTCAGGCAAGGGTGTACGATGCGTTGTCGGTTCAACTTTCTCCCAACGAGTCACTTGATCCCAGGCTGGGCGCATGATAGCTCGTGCCCCAGGAATCTCAATCTGAGCGTGAGCAAGCAGTTGCCGAAAGTCCTGCAAAGAACTACCGCTGTTGTACAAGCTCTGTCCGTAGATAATCAGCATCTGCACCAACAGCTCGGGTAACCTCCTGACTGAAGCCCACGCCTCTTTCCCAGCTCCTCGCTCGAGCCACTCACGAAACAAGTTCCAGACCCGGGTCCGCAGTCGTGCCGTGCCCGGTTCGACCAGCTTTATGTTTCGTAGAACAAGAGGTGGTCGAGGCTTCCGAGCGCCTCGTGGTCCTGGGTTCCCAGCTTCTCCGATTCGAGCCCCACTGCACTTCGCACACTTTGCGATGTCCAGCGGCCGGTAGTTTCCATTCCAGTTCAAATCGGAAGCGATCGCATTCGCAAGCAGAGTGCAGAAGCGCCGCGGGTAAGCTTCAGCAAGCTTTGTCCACAGCACTCCCGTCTTGCAGTCTCTCCCTCTCAACATCGCATGCCGACGAGCACAACCGCAGAGCAGGCGCTGGCCCGCAAGGGAGCAGTTGGTTCGGACCCGGGTGGGTTTTCTCCACCGCGTTCCAAAAACACACATGTCGCAGAGAAAGTCGTCAACTTGCATGCTGTTCCAAGCTTCTTGCTTCCAGAGCCACGATTTCGCTGGATTCTCGATCATGTAGAGCGCGCCCGACTCCTTAGCCAAATCAACAAGCCCCAGAAGAAAACTCAGCAGCAGGTTGTCAGCTTGTACTTTAGCGAACGCTTCGGGGCGAAGCCCCGGGCGCCCATGAGGACAATCACGTGACCTGTAGCAGACCCCGGCTGCTGTAGAAAAACTTCCACTAGAAGGTCCAGCGCTGAAGCCTCGAAAAGCTCCTTCAATGAAAAGCCAGCTCAACTGATCCTGTAGTTCAGGGTGAAGCAGATTTTCGTCGAAGCTGTGTAAGACATCCAGACAAAGTACCCAACATGGCGCGGCTCCTACGAGGGCCTTCGCTAAACCCCTGGACCCCGAACACAAATCAAGCCACCCCGGAGACGAGCGCAGAGCAGCATGAAGGCTCGGAAAGACGGAGGAGAAAACGAAGCGGCCCGGCGGGTAGCTGCACAGCAAATCCAAGGCAGCCTGTGAAGGAGGCGATGGGCGAGAAGATCGTTGAGGTGGAGCAGGCTCAACTCGGAAGGAGCCACCGCACAAAGTTGGAGGGTCGAAGCGATGGCCAAAGTCACAGGCCCTGGCTTTCAATGTTTTCACTGATACAGCACAGACGGGATCGAGCTCTCGTGCAGCCGGCTTCAGAGATCTCTCGCATTCGCTGTACCCTTCGCCTTCGTCACCAGGCTTCGGGAGATTGAAACCGAGTGCCTCAGCGATCAATCTCTGCTCAGGGTCGAGTTTTTCAGACGACCTTACCGTGAAGGCAACCAAAACGACGCGAGTGCCGGTCCAGTCGGCTGTTGCATGGAGTCGTCTGGGTTCGAGAACCTGAGGCCCCTCTTGAAGGCTTAGGACTTCCCCGAATCGCTTTTGGCCACGGAAGTTGAGTGCATGCGATCCACCTGAGGTTTCAACCCAAATCCCGCCCTGCTTAAACCGGCTTAAAGCTAAGACGAAAATCGGTTCAGTGTCGGCATTGTGACTGTCGGTATGCGGCAAAGTGCCAACATTCTGGTTGACGGTGAACGAAGTGAAGATCAGCTTCGGGTGGGATTCGCGGATGAGCGTAGTGAAAACCTGAACCGACTTAGGATGCTGAGAGCAGGTCCGTCGCAGGCCTAGAACTCCTCCATGCACGAAAACTCCAGCTGCAAACGAGCATTCATCGCGCCTGGGCTTGGTAGCCCGCGACGCAGCTTCTTTCGGTAGCTTTCTGAACAAGGTCAGGGCGTCAGCAGCAGTGATGCTCGGCAACTCGAGGAGGTGTGCTGCAAACGACTCGGGGTCCCTACAGGCGCGATGCTTCCTAGCAACCTCAGAATTCCGAACATCGACCGGGCAATCAGGAAGGAGCTCAGCAGGATCGGGCAGCCCCGCGAGCCGATTCAAATCCATGCCGCACTGCTCAAGAAAAGAGTCGAAAGCCTCAAAGCGACCGGCACAGGCTTCCTGTAACCAAAACGGTTCAGCAATGTCAGGCTCTCGCATTCCGACCTGGTGCTTCTGCTATGGGAAGTCCCACCCCTGCCCCTGCCGGCGTCTCGGCAGGAGGCGCCGTGGCAGGAGCCGCCGTGCCCCCTGCACCTAGCAGGCGCTCCAAGCTTTTCTGCAGATTCAACACACCTGCTTCCAACCCGGTCAAGCGTGCTTCCCAGGACTGCTCGGGCTCCTCCGGGAACCCAGGTTCTTCCGGCCCTTCGACAGCAGTGACGAATGCAAAATGCTCCCCTGCTATTGAAGCTAAGGCTGGACCGAATGGCACCATCGACACCCCACTTAGAGCCCCAAATCCCTTGAAGCTGCACTCGGGCTCGTCGCTTTCCTCGTAGCTGATTCTTCCCACCAGGGCATCGTCCAGCAGACCCAACCACACTTTCATCCTGTAAGCATGGTGCGCCTGAGAAGGATCGTCGGCCGAGCCCGCGACTACCTCGCAGTGAACTCCCTTCTTTAAGGAGTTGGGGGCCAAAAGCCGCCTTGCACCCTGGCGGTGCCATGCAGTCTGCGGGAGACAAACAAGAAGCTTACCTTCAAACAGGCCTATGGCTATCACCTGCACTGAAAGCGAGCCCTCGGTCGCTCGCGCGGCTTGAAGCGTCCCTATGTGGACAGCAGTCCCTTCCAGCAAGTAGTCCTGAACGCCCGGAAAGGGAAACGGACGATCAGGAGCCAACTCCTCAGATCCACTCTGGCTGGCCATTTATGCCAGCGAGAGGCCACTCAAAACCTGCAGTACGCAGAGCGATGGATGCTTCGACCTGTGAGGGGAGGCCCACGAAGACAGATCGGCCCCGATCGGGCCCTCGGCAGCAATGCTCGCGCACCCGAGCAAACGTATTGCAAATCAAAGGTTCAGACGGGCGCCGTCCTTGATAGTCGGCTAAGATTATGTAATACTTTGACTGCAACGACAACCTGTCTCGCCCAGACGTGCCTCGTGAGGCTCCACTCAGGGCCCGAGCAAGAAAAGATCCCTCCTCAGCAGCAATGGCAGTACGGAATTCAGATGAAGGCGGCCCTGGATTTGCAGCAGAGGTACCGTCCGAGTATTCGGAGCGGCCCTGACTCACACCTCCCGACCCTTGAGGGGACGAAGTTGCAGAGAAAGGCCTCCCAGCGTGAGAGGGCTGTCGAGCTGGGGAGCGAACAACTCCACCTGATCCCAGCGAAGATGAGGAACCGGGGACCTGGGAGAGTCTCGCTCCACCTGATCCAGACCCGAGCACTTCAGACTCAGAAACGGCTTCAAATTCAGCTTCGGCTTCAAGGGCCGCAAGACGTGATTCGATCCCTGACACAAGAAGCTTAACAGCAGCGAGCTCCTGGCGAAGTGAAGAGATCTCTGCAGCGAGAGGCCCGCCACTCATTCAAGAATCCTGTAAAGTTCAGAAGGAAGCAGCCTCGCGGGATGCCTGAGGCGACGCGAAGCTAGAAGCCGTAGCAAGAAAGCCAAATCCAGAAGTGGCCCCAACAGCAGCCCCAATCAAGGCCGATGATCAGCGAGGGGAGATGCACTCGTTCGAAGAAGGAGGCGATTGAAGAGGTCTCGGTCGGTGCGGAGGGAAGAAAGGAAAGCTCTGGCTCCGGAGGAGAAAGAGGAACCCCTGAAGTGATTTCCCGAAGCACCTGAAAGCACAACCCCGCCAAACCTCCCGAAGCTCCCCCCGCAACTATGGGCAGAGGACGCATCCACTTCGAGAAATGACTGCGGCACCGCAGTGAACATGCTGCTCAACAGCCTGGGGTGCTTGGGTTCGCATCAATCACCGACACAGTGCATTTGGCCGACGACCCCAGCTATTGTGTGGCATATTCTTTCACGCGGCCAACCGCAGACTTACATTTCACGGTGACGCCTCACGCCTTACGCGTCAAGTTTTACCACTTTTTGGCTCTTGGACATCCGAGCACATCACAGGGTTGTCAGCCCCGCACGGCCAAGCAGTAGCTCTTGATGCTGTTTCGCAACCTGACCCGGACTCCCAAAGTTCCGGTAACTCTGAAGTTGATTGTGCCATGGGAGGTCGTGAGCAGCGGGCCGAGCCAAACGACGCAGCATCACCGCACATGCCTGCCATTCAAGAGCTACAAGCCCAGGAAATGCACCTGAGCACAATGATCACTAAAGTTATGCAATTCATCGATGAGCATCTTGCAACCTCAAGCGGTTTGCCGAACCGCGTTGGTCGTACATAGTGCCACCTCGCCAAACCGTGTTGCTTTGCCGCCGCCGCCACCGCTCCCACCCCCACCGCGGCCTTCCGCCACGAACGATGTGGTTCGGAGTTGTCCGCCTCCTCCTGCCCCACCTCCGAGAACGTGTCAGCAACCTTTACTGCAAGTGCCAGCTGTTCCACGAGCGTCAACACGTGCCCCCAAATGCCCGGCATGGCATGTGGGAACCGTTGCCGCGTCGCAGGCGTAGGCTGCCACAACCTCAATGGTGCAGGACTTGTGGAAATCCGGCCGGCGCCTGCTGATTGTGTTGATCATGCTTGTTGGGCATGTTGTTCATGTTTTGACTGTCCATCCCATGCAAATCATGCAGGCAATCTCGTGCATGCATCCGTCGGTTCCCCATGCCCTCCTCCGCCTCCCCCTCCCCCGCCGCAAGCGCCGTCCCATTGGCGCAACCCCCTCGCTGCTTCGGGCAGCTTTGTGTCACCTGCCAGCTCTTCACGGCCTCCTTTGCGTCGTCGTACGGGAAATGCGGTGGGCGCGCGGAGGTAGGCGTTTCCGATGCGCCCAACATCATTCGCCTCGCAACGCTGAACTGTAATGGGTTATGGTCGAGGGCCGGTCGCCTTAACCGGCTTTCCATGGTTTCACAAGGTTCTTATGTAATAATGTGTCATGTTGCTTTCCTCCAGGAAACCAACACACCCGTGGTGGCAAGTCTTTTTTTTCCCTCGGACCTTTTTCCGGCTGCCTAGGGTGCCCGAGCGCAAGAGGCAAGGGCTACAGCGAGCTAGCTACCGTTAACCTACTGCTACGGTGTAAGCACGTCGCCCGCTAGCGGGGCGTGTCTCACGACCAGCCTTACTGGTTTGATGGTCTGGAGGACACGCAACGACATGATGCAGCCTTCCTAGTTCATCGTGACATAACCGCTTTTTGTGCACAAATTCCGGGCATCAGACGTCATCCCGATTCCCGATATTTGCTGCCGACCGTTGAATCATGCGGAAGATCAAGCTTCCACAGCCATAGCCTCTTTCTACGCACCCGTTGTGGGCATTCCTGAACCCGAGCGTATTGCATGTTAGCAACGAATCCGTCAGCGAAGTTGTTGATGCACTGCCTGGCGTTGACATAGTGCTAATGGGTGATAGTAATCTTTGGCTTCCAGGGTTGGTGGAGGGGCGCGGTGCTCGTTCAGCTGACCGCGCATGTGTTGAAATTTTAAATGTAATGTTACGGTCTTTCGGTTTGGAGGTTGCGAACCCACCTGATGCTCCGACACACGTGCACGGAGCGGCATTGGATTTGGTTGTCGCACGACCTGGGTTAGTGCAGAGTGTTCCGGTTCATAATAATTACCATTGTACATGTTCAAACCGCGATTGGTGCGGCTCCTTGCTGGGGAGTGACCATTTCGCCGTCACCATTGCACTCGACAAGTCGTACTCCGCAACTTCTGGCAATCGAGGCTTTCGGGCACGTCATGTCAGGGATTGGGATCATTTGATCCATTCGCAACGTGAAAATATTGAAGCATGGGCCGCTCGTGTTTCTGGTCAATTGGCCATGGCCCCACTGGCCACCCGTGTTGACTGCAGGGAAATGTTGAATGATCTGTACAATGATCTGTTGGATATTGTTTGGAATGCACATCCCGCTCTCTATCGCCACCCCAAACCAAACTTAAAAACACAACCTTCTGAAAGCCTTCAACCCTCGAGTTGCTGCTCGCTAGGCGCGTGCTCGCCGAGCATTGGCTGGACAAATTGCCGCATGCCAGTCGTTTGACCGCATGGTGATTTGCACCAAGCCGCACTGCACCCGACTCCTGAAGCCACTACTCCCATGTGCCTGCCGCCGAGCAGCGGAGCCTCTTTCCCTGTAGCCTGCAGTCTGCAGATGTTCAAGGTACCGGACCGCATCTTCTTCGCGCTGTTGCCAGACACTTGCACTCGTTGGAACAGCAACACCCTGAACTGCGACGGCCCACCAAGTGCAAGCTCGTTCCGTGAACTCGGTGGCCGTTGAAGCAGCGACCTTAACTTTGTCAGGCTCGTTGCACGCTAGCACGCGTGCCGCCCCTGCCTTCTCCCGCTGGCCGCTTTCTGCCTTTGTGTGTCGATGGCCGATGGTCTGCTTTGCTTTCCATGCTTTCCGCTGCCCCGTTGCGGCATGTCCACTGTCGATGGCGAAGCCCTGCTGCTGAGTAACATTCTTGCCGATTCCTCCCTCCAGTCACGCTTCGCTTAGACACTGTATAGTGTACAGGCTGCACAGGGACCGCCGTCTTGTGGGCTCAAGGTAGGTGTGCTCTGTGTTTGCGCGTGCGATGCGGAACGCGGCACCGAGAGCGTTGCAAAGGTGTCGCCCCGGGCGGCCGCTTGCATCGAAGGCCGAGACGAAGGTAGTGTCGACGCTGAGCTGAACTCCGCCCTCGCACGACCCGCAAAAGAACTACCCTGGGAGTGAAGCAAAGCCGTTGATGCCTCGTCACGTGCGGAGGTGATATCGTCTAGGAACTTCCTTTTGAGCTGCTCGTTGCCAACCGCGCGGGAGGTCTTCTGTGACATGAGCGCGGCATCGGGGGGCTCCGCAAGCAGCTCACCCCATGCCGGCACGGTCAGATCGTGGTTGGTCTGGACAACGGCACCACAATGGAGCGACGCGAAGCCGCGGAGGTTGCACGTAGGCTCTGCGAGTTGTTGCTGCATGTGTGGTCGCAAAGAGTGCTATCGCGGGCCTTGATGGCGCGAAGCGAGTCTGCTTAGAAAACTCATTAGGGTCCTGGGGCATGCACCACGGCGCTGCGCAGGCCGAGACCTCCGTGGCGTGGTGGTTCGGAAGCGTGAAGATCATCTATATACCGAGTGGGGCCTCCGGGACCGTGAGAGCGTGTTTGGCCTTGTTAGTACTTGGGCAGGCTAGCGTCGCCGACGAAGGTGCAAATGGTGGCGGATGCCTCTGCATTCCAAACACGGGTTTTGGCGGCGCAAAGCTCGATGTGCGCGCAGGAAAAAAGGTGGTGCTCAACGCGCTGCAGCAGGAATGTTGCTGACTGGTGAGGTATGCGTCGTCGAGGAAACCGTTCGGGTTGCTTGCAGCACCAGGTCGTTTACACGGGCGGCACAACAAGGATCGCAACCGCGCGCGGAACTGTTGGGCCAAGGGACACGGACGGATTTGTGGCGGAGCTCCCCGACAACAGACCCACGATTGCCTTCACGAAGTTCGACGGCGAGGATTCGCTGGCTATGTGCCACGCCAAGGGGTCGGTCAGGCAGTGACTACAGTAGAGGATGGTGGCGTCAAGCGTGGCACTGCAGCAGAGGCACAACCACTCGGGAGTCGACGTGCTGTCGGCCCGAGCCCATTCCATGTTTCAATCAGGAAGTTCCTCCCAAGCGGCGTCGTCTGCGGCCTGGCTTGGGCATGCCAGGAAAAGCCCAGGGCGACACCAAGGCAACATGTGCCGGATTGTGCCGGGGGGCTGGGGGAGTATGAGTGTTGGTGCTGAGCAAAAACGGTGTCGTGCTCGCGTTTGAGAAACACGCTGTGAGCGGCAAGCAGTGTGGAAGAACTCTGCTGTTCGCTATTTTAATCACGCACACACTTTCCGACAATGCACGTCGCGGTCCCTGTGCCACAGGCCCGAATCCAAGGCGACACCCTATGGCAGCGAAGCCCAAGGCTGAGGAACAGTGATGTGCGTTCAAGGGAGGCGATTTGCAATGGGAGGCGGCTCAGCAAAATCCGCGAGGAGATTGTTCAGAAGGGGAGCTTTTCCGTCGACGTTGGTGGGAGGAGGCTGGCTGCAAAGGACCGGGCAGCGCCGAAGGCAAACAGCACGGACCAACGTACGGCGAACGCAAATGCGATCGCTTCCCGTGTGTCAGTGGCGGTAAGCATCTCGGCTCGAGAGCCGTCTCTGGTTGCGCTGCCCGCTTTCTGGGGTGGCTTGTGGGTTTTGTTCCTTGGGGTCGGCGGTTTGGCTGTTGTGTGTTGGTTGCTTCGGGGCGTGGGCTGTTCGATGCCATGGATGCCATGGAGTTGTGTGCTCCCCACGGGCGCAACAAGGTTCCCAGCATCAACACTGCCTTTCCTGATGCACTGCATAAGTATGTACTGGATACTGCTCTGGGTGGTATGTTACGTAAGTGGCGTGAACACCACGGTCTGCCTCAGTCTGCGCAGCTTAGCCTTTACTCCACGTACATATCTGCATGGCGGCATAGCTCCCCTTACTGAATCTGGTGCGACGCATGGGAGCTTTTGCCAGGCCCTCAGCGAGTTCAGTTTTACAAGGAGATGTCGCTGGTTTTTCCTGTGTTTTCTTTGGACATGCTGCAAGTGGTATATGCAGTTAGCTGCCGGGGATCCTTGGATTCAATGGACTAGCTGTGCAACAAGTATCTTTCGCTGGCTGCGAGGGGCCTACCACATGCAGCAATGCTTCCTTGCTCTTGCAGCTTCTCAGATGGTGCCTCTGGCCAGCTTGGGAGGGTTAATGCTCCTGGTCTTTTGGGCAGAAGTGGTTCATTGCTCACTGCATGTATTGTATGCTGTGTTGATGCCTGGCAAGCTCTTATGGGCTCCTACAGTGAATGCCTGGGCCTGGTTGTCACAGCTGCTATGTCACTGCTTGATGACCTGCCGCATTGCATTAGAACTCATCTTGAGGGCAGTCGCAGTGGAGAGCCTGCATCTTCAGGGGCTGCTCCGACGGCCTCGAGTGGATCCACCATGGAAGCCACAGCTGCGGGGGAGGCAAGAGGGCGTTCCAGATCGAGGCGAGTGCGCTTGCGACCCAGAGCCACCCTGCATAGAACGGGGCCTCCACGTGGACCACCACCACCGAGACCGGTCAGTGATCCTGCCTTCCCTCGGGCTGCTTCGGAGACTAGGGGAGCTTCCCCGTCGGGATCAGAATGCAGCTCCTTTAATTCGGATGAGATTGAAAGGAGAGAGGACGCTCGGCGACGATGCGTGGAGCCTGAGTGGCGCGGCTCTAGAAGGGCGGCCTTGGCGAGAGACCGAACCTCGGACAGAGCGATTGCCCCTCCTGAGGTGGCTGGCACAGAGGAGACCGGAGAATCGGAGGACACTGCGGAGGATCCTTTCGCGACGGACTTCAGACGAGATGAGCAAGGACGCCGGGTGGCGAATCCCTCCCCTACGTTGTCTCCGTTCTCTGCTCGGCCTTCGCCGTCGCCACATGCTGCACCACCTTCACGGACCACACGATCTGCTGAGGATGAGGGAGAAAGTGAAGAGGAGGAAGGAGCAGCTGATACGGAAGATCATGATCCGCATGGCCTTTTCAGTTCGGACTCCAGCCAAGATGGCCTGGGGTTTGGCATGCAAACTAAAGACTGATCTGCTGGCATTGGCTGGCCTGGAAAATTTCAGCATGCAGGGTTGGATATTCTATGTGCATGCCGCCTTGCTGCCTGGGCTCTCCTACTACATGATTGTCATGATCCGCCAGGTCCTCTACCTCCTCCTGCCAGTGAATATCCAGCTTATCACCCATGACGTTCGAGGCTGGTGGCATTGTCTGGCTTCCCTCTTCGTGTTGGCTCATAACCCACAAAGTCGCCCTGCACATTGTTCAGACCAGACTTCGGCAACAACTACTACAAGAGCAACGTTGAGCCGCGTGGGTCCCAAGTCCCACGGCTGTGGCTGCTTGTCTAGCAAACTTTGTTTCTCGATGCTTTTCTGGTTGCTTTTCATAAGCATGTTCACCCATGGATATGCAGCTGCAGCAGATGCGAGGGTTGCACCCATTGTCCATCAGGGTGCTGGAGCCTCCGGCTTGTCCTGGGGCGAAGCAAATGGACGTACCGCGCACCTTTCCGAAGTGCGAACCACAGTTTCACCAGGTCTGCTAAACCATCGTACACATCAAAACAATGTCAGAAAGCGAGCATTTGCTAGAGCATTGAGGCGTGCCTCGGTGGCGACAGATCACAGCACCATGTATCGAGGCAGACGATGTGTGCTGCAGGGTCATCGCTTTCAAGTGCAAGAGACTCGCCAACGGCAGCACCGCTTGAGTCAAGGTGTTCCCACCAGAAGATCTGTTCGTGCTCGTGTTCGTGCCCTCACCATCAATCTTGGAGGCCTTGATACCACAACTTTTGATACTTTCATGGCATGGCTTCCCTCCTCACCATATGAAGTAATCTGCTTGCAAGAAATTCACTTTGGGCTTGGTCGTGACTCTAACAGCTGGGTTTCTGCTGGATGGAGATTTGTGACAACGATTGACGCTTCCACACGTTTCCAGGGTGTGGCCATCTTGGTCAGGGAAGTCCTCTGCAGGACAAGCGAACTGCATTATCAAGAAGTCGAGCCAGGAAGGCTGTTACATGTTCGGGTCGAGCAGGAGCACCACTCCTTGGACATCCTGGGGGTTTACCAGCATGCGCTGCACCTCGAGGCAGGCAAAAACAATCTGCCACAAAGACAGAAGGTGTGGGATAAGCTGGGAGCTCTTTTGCATAACCTATCCAGACGTAACATGCTGGTGCTGCTTGGAGATTACAATTGCACCCCAGAGTATGTGAATGGAGCAATGGGTCACTCATATGACAAGGCAAGCAACTATCCAGATGCCAACGAGTTTGCTGCTCTGCTTGAGACGCATGACCTGGTCTTGTTGAATGGTTGGGTGCGACTGTCACAGCAGTTTACCTTCACTGGGTCCAAGCATAAGTCCATCATTGACTTTATCATCACACGCAGGCATCATGCAGACGGACCGGCTCGGAAGGCTCGCACCGTACCCGGGCTTAATTTCAGTCCCTGGCGGTTGGGTGGCAGGCACCTGGCTGTTGGTGCCACTCTACCTCTTCACCCAGGTTGGACTAGCACTTCACGTCGGCATCCTCCGGAGAGTAGTAAGTATGATAAACTGCAGCTTGACCATGAGGCTCGGCATGGTGGCCCTCGCATTGCAGCTCTACGCACAGCAGTGCAGGAGTACCTCGCAGGCCATCCTGCAGCCACCCTGGAGCAAATCAATGCCCAAATGCTCTCTCAGGTCATACGGCTCTTTCCTCGACGCTCCGAGGCGCCGGAGCCACGGGCCTGGAATACGCCTCAAGTGAGAGGGTCTGTGACGGCGATGTGGCAAGCCAGGGCAAGACTTCGCAATATCTGGAGCACGACCTACACTCGACTTCGATTCAGCATGGAGGCCTTCAAACGGTATCGTGCTTTTATGCAGGCTTACAGATTCCTCAAGCAGCAAGGTCGACAAGCTCGCCGGACCCTCCTCACCAATGAGCTGGCGGCTGCTGCAGAGGCTGCACAACGTAATGATACAGGACAGCTGCATCGGATCATTCGTCGTTTGGCACCCAAGAGCAAACGAGTGCAGGTTCGTATTCATGGCCCGAATGGCGAAATGCTGCGGGACTCAGCTGAGCACGAGGCTATCGTGTCCTACTTTGAAGACTTGTTCCAGTCCCAGACTGCCCAACTGCCCATTAGCCCGGGGCTGGATGCAGCTCCTCAGGTCAGCGAGAAAGAGGTCTACGACTCCCTCCGCAGTACCAAGTACGGCAAGGCCGTTCCGCCCACCTCCACGCCGTCAAGTGCTATCAAATGCTGTGCAGACATTCTGGCACCGGCCATCACGCCGGCAGTGAATGAGTGCCTGCAGGGTGGGGGCACGCCTCCGAGATGGGCGAATTGTCATCTAGCGCTAATCCCGAAACCTCATAAAATTTCTAAAAGACCAGAAAATTTGAGGCCGCTTGGACTACAGGACTGCAGCGCTAAGGCATACGCTCGGCTACTCAAGAATCTACTGCTTCAAGATGTACATCAGGTTCTTCAGAAGATGCCGGTTTTTGCTTATATCCCATCTCGTGGAACGGATGATGCCATAGCTCGGGTGTCGGATCACTGCAGACGAGTCAGGAGCAGCCACCAACAACAGGTGTCCAATGTACACACCCATGGGGCCCGAAAGCCTAAGTCTGGTGCATATGGAGGATTGCAATTAGCAATTGACCTGACTACTGCATTCGACACTGTGCCGCGTGATGAGCTTGGGCGCGCACTGGTCTGGGCAGGTGCTAACACCTCTCTAGTGGCTACCATATTGGATTTGCACAGTGTCTGTCAGTACACTATACAACACAAAAGCCGCACAAAATGCATTCATATGCGCAGAGGTGTACGCCAGGGGTGCACGTTAGCACCATTGCTTTATGTTGTTTTTAGTGCATATTTGATCTCCAAGCTCAAAGCTCGGTTGCCGGCAGATTGGGTTCGTGATCATTTGACCCTCTACGCAGACGACTCCCATGCCAGCTTTGAGATCCATAGTACAACGGACCTTCTTCAATCTCTGCAGATCATAGCTTGTATCTTTGATGTCTATCGTGAACATGGGATGCGAGTTAACCCACAGAAGTCGGGAGTGGTGCTTGGTGTTCGCGGATTGCAAGCTACTGAATTGCTTAAGAAACACCTCCAGGGCACTGGGGATAAGCTCTGCTTGGTCATTGGCATTGGTCAAGGCGAGCTGCGAATACCAGTCAAAACCAGCATGCAGTATTTGGGCATCTGTGTTTCTTATGACAATTTTGAACAAGAGACCCTGACTGCTAGACTGAAGGTGGCCCAGGCTACTCGCAGTCGCGTCTCCAAGGTGCTAAGTGCTCGCAGGTACCTTACTCAGCAGCAGCGGATCCACCTTTACGTGTTGTGCATACGCTCGGCAGCGTTGTGTGGTCTCGGTGCGGTTGGGATGAGTAGCACATGTCTACGCAAGTTGCAGATCTTCGAGGTCAAGCATATCCGGGCTATCGTGCGATCCCCTGTGCACCTCACTCGCGAGACCACAGCCCATCTGTACAAACGACTCCGGCTTCGCCTTCCTGCACAGCAATTGCATGATATGCTTCGCAATCGAGCTAGGCATGTTCGGGCTGATGCTCCCCACAAGCAGTGGATTTCCTTTTTTTTTTACGGGCCTTTTTCCTTGGCATGAGTCTGACGGGCCCGCCGCTCGTTTCAGCGGAGCCTCCTATACCCTACAGGCATCTACAGGCCGCGTAGCGGCAGGCGGCTCGGCCCTGCTGCGTCAGCAAGGCCGAGCACGCGTTCCATCTCTGGGGCC